GAATCTCAGAGAAGTTTTGCTTGGGATTTTTTCAAGCTGGAGAAACTTTTTCGTTTCATATAAATCATAAATTTGTGTAAGCTCTCAGTCGTACAGGGATTAGTCAAAGCAAAGGAAGGTTTCTCACCCATCATCTGTACTTCTTAGCAAGTTTTCCCGACGTTTCGTCCTCAACCTAGCGGACTTCTTCAGGGAATGAATTCTCGGACCGCGCGTTGGAGATTTATAACCTATGGGTGTGGTTAGCCACACCCTAATCCTGATACTAACTCCTAACCAATCTACGGTCTGCTTGATGTAGAAGGGAGCAGATCTAACGACCCTGCTGAGGCTAACGACCCTAACTCCTTAGCATGTCACAGACCTATTGTCTGCTGGGATGCTCAAGTGGAGTGCAGGTTTCACCCCTCCTAACTCATTAGCATGTCACTGACCTTGTCCCAAGTTAGGGCGTTGTTTTTAGGATGTCGTCATAGATGCGAGGCAAAACAAATCTTAACCCTCCTCTGTTAAGAGAAGGTTTTTTTTTTGCACTGACCACTATATTGGAGAAACCAAACAAACTCTACAGAAACGACTTTACCAACATCGTAGAGAAAACTCTAGTGGGCCACAGTCGGCTGTTCATCTCCACCTCAAGGCCTCCAACCACACGGTGGATGACACAGAGGTTAAAATTCTGGCTCGGGAGAAGAATTGGTTTGAGAGAGGAGTGAAAGAAGCCATTTTTGTGAGGAAACAAAAACCTTCTCTTAACAGAGGAGGAGGGTTAAGATTTGTTTTGCCTCGCATCTATGACGACATCCTAAAAACAACGCCCTAACTTGGGACAAGGTCAGTGACATGCTAATGAGTTAGGAGGGGTGAGACCTGCCCTCCACTTGAGCATCCCAGCAGACAATAGGTCTGTGACATGCTAAGGAGTTAGGGTCGTTAGCCTCAGCAGGGTCGTTAGACCTGCTCCCTTCTACATCAAGCAGACCTGAGATTGGTTAAGAGTTAGTATCAGGATTAGGGTGTGGCTAACCACACCCATAGGTTATAAATCTCCAACGCGCGGTCCGAGAATTCATTCCCTGAAGAAGTCCGCTAGGTTGAGGACGAAACGTCGGGAAAACTTGCTAAGAAGTACAGATGATGGGTGAGAAACCTTCCTTTGCCATAAATCATAAATGTTGATTGTCCCAACTGGAAGTCCGGTGAAAGACCAGGACATGCTGGCTTCATCTTAGAGTGTAAAATTTCATAACATGGAGCTCTGTCAGTAACTATTTTACTCTTTGGGCTGGGAGATGATTGGCTGAGTGAGTTTGGTCGTTTTTCACTTTCACAAGGTATATTTAGGATGTGCATGTGACAAAAAATGCATCCAAATGAAAATGATATAACCAAAATTATTTGACAGAAAGGAACAAGTTAGATGTTATAATTTTCTCCCATTGCTTGTCGTTTAGGAATCACCATCCATCCATTCATTTTCTTCTCCTTCATCCATTGCCAGATCACGGGGGCAGCAGTCTAAGCAGAGACGCCCAGACAACTTATAGGAATCACCAATTGTCATTATTTGCCACAACATATTGTCTTTATTAACATGATGGTGAAAAGTTGTTTTAAGCATGAAGCATTTGATGAACGGCAAGCTGTAAAAAGATCTGTCTCTTGCCATGTCATACTGTAGGCAAGGCAAGGCAAGTTTATTTATATAGCTCAATTCATACATAAGGCAATTCAAAGTGCTGAACAAAACAAGAAAGCATTAAAATCATAAATAATCACAGAACATTAAAAAGAAAGATACAAATATGAAATCCCTCAGTTGTATGCACATTTAAACAGAACTGTCTTTAACCTGGTTTTAAACATTGTCAGAGAGGAGGCCTGTCTCACATCTTCAGGAAGACTGTTCCAGATTTTAGCAGCATGAATCTGAAAAGCAGCCTCCCCATGTTTAGTTCTGACTCTGGGCACTAACAGGAGTCCAGTCCCTGAGCTCCTCAGAGTCCGGGCTGGTTCATATGGGACTAACATGTCACTAATATATTTTGGTGCGAGGCCATGGAGAGACTTGTACACAAGCAGAGCTGTTTTAAAGTCTATTCTCTGAGCCACAGGAAGCCAGTGCAGAGACCTGAGGACTGGACTAATGTGGTCGTACTTCCTGGTTTTTGTCAGGACTCGAGCTGCTGCATTTTGAATGTATTGCAGTTGTTTTACAGCCTGTTTGGACAGACCTGTGAGCAGGCCATTGCAGTAGTCTAACCCAGTGTTTTTCAACCACTGTGCCGCGGCACACTAGTGTGCCGTATGATATTGTCTGGTGTGCCGTGAGAAATTCGTCTACTTTGTCTAAAAATAACTGCATTCGCTGTTGACGAGCGGTGACTTGTTTTGAACTGTGGAGTAACCATGTAATACTTTTTCAAATCAGTAGATGGCAGCAGATAGCTAAGTACTTTGAAACTGAAAAATTGGATGCGACCACTGGCTGTAACAGGTCAGCATTGTGGCGAGAAAGGTAAAATTGGATGCGACCAACAAATGTGGGAGGGAGCGAGACAAGAGCTTTGTGGCGAGTGAGAAGTGAAAGTGATAGAGACGTTTTTGAAAATGAATTATGCCGTTTCTGAACAGGATTAACATCCTCCGCTCTGCCCCGGGGCAGCTGTGGCCGTGTTGTAGTGGTTTAACTATGAAATGTACAATTTTTGTACAACAGCTCTCGCGAACGCACTTCTGAACTGGGTACCGAGCGCAGACCATAGTCGAGTGGACAGAACCACAGACATGCGGACCGGACAGAACCATAGACATGCGGACCGGACAGAACCATGGACTCGCGTTCAGGACCTCCCGTGTCCCTCATCCAAAACTCCTGAATTTAAAGCTCGGATACCTAAATTTTTCCCATGCACTAACAATGCATGTTCTTTGTGTGAGTTATTATTTGACTATTTGGGCAGAGAGTGGATTTTCTTAGTTTTTTTCCACACAGTTAGTGCCACTTTATTACCAAACTCTTGTTAATTGTATCGAGAAATGTTAAATAAAGCTTAATGTCAAGGCCTGGACTTAAGCATTTTGATGAGAATAACTGTATATTGTGAATATAGGCTACAGAGTATACTGTATACATTATAAGATAAGATAAGATATACTTTATATATCACACAGAGTATGTACAGTATATATTTTTACATTAGTACTGTATACATTTTTACATTTTCTCCTGGAGGTGTGCCGCAAGATTTTTTCAGTGAAAAAAGTGTGCCTTGGCTCAAAAAAGGTTGAAAAACACTGGTCTAACCTACTGGAGACAAATGCATGGATAAGAATCTCCAGGTCTGCTTTAGACACTATGTTTTTGATCCTGGCAAGGTTTTTTAGATGGTAAAAAGCTGCTGATGTTACTGATTTGATGTGGCTATTAAAATTTAAGTCTGAGTCCAGTATTACCCCTAGATTTCTGACCTTGTTTGAAGGTTTTAGGGAGAGAGACTGTAGGTGACAGATGACGCTCTCTCTTTGTTTCTGGGGACCAAAGACAATCATTTCAGTTTTGTATAAGGAATATACAGTGGCATTCATCCTCCTTTTGTGACTAAGTTCATCCGTAAGTAAAGACTTATGCATGAGTAGGGAAAACAAATATTTTCATCTGATAGCCCACAAACTGCTCTGTTACTCTCAAGTAAAAGACAAGTTTACTTTTCAGGGTTTGCCACAGAAAATATCATGTACTAGTGAGCATTAGCATTCATTAAAATAATTGGGTGTTCTTGGCCAAACTTTTTTTTTTAGTTTGAGAATCTTACGTCATTAATTATCTGTGGTTTGTTAAAGGGGAAAAAACCCCAGCTTGGCTTTGGTTGAGATCCATGTGATTTCAATCCATGTGAGAAAAAGTGCATGTGAATTTTGCGTGTCGATTTTAAGGTCATCGTTGTGGCCATCTCTTGCAGAATGTTGAGAGCTCTAGTTTTTCACACGAGAGGAGTATTTGAACCGAGCAGCAAGCCGTCAGGAAGCTCTGAGCCCAATGGGTGTGTCAGCGGGGGCAGTTTTTCATAAGGCACTAATCTCGCCACACAAAGGGGCGTCCAATATTGCAGACCCCTACCCCAAAGCTAATCAAGGCCGGACCGAGCCGCGACCAAGCGGGCCAACTCTGAAAACATGACCTCATCTGATGGCTTAGCTATAGCCACACACAGTTACACCAGGGTTTTCAAAACGGTGGGATTCTGTTATTGTGCTGAAATGTAACGTTTTTTCACTCAAATGCACATGTATAAGAAAAATCTAAAATCTTGTTAGATCGTCTTTGAGAAAAGCCCTTGCTCTCACCTTGACCCCCAACCCTAACCTTCGCCATATGAACTTTTCTTATAGCCCTAAACTTGACCATAACCTTAACTTTGATCTGATAAAATTTACAAATTTAAATAAAAATAGCAGCTAAATGTGAAGTAACAAAGTATCCATCTGTGTTTTCCTCCATCTGGGAACAAATTGGACGAATACGAAATGCAGTTTTGCAATTTCTTAGTTCAAAAGTTGACTTATTTATTGTACAATTATGACGTCACACTTTGCATTGGATGTCATCATGTCATCCTGTTTTCACTTCCTGTATTTTTCAGAAGTATTTCCCCAACTCGTCTTCACAAATTGCTTCCTGATTAGCGTAACATGATCCTTTATAACTATTTACAACAACTGTTAACCCACAAACTATCATAAAAAACTTGACACAGGGTAATAGGTTGAGTACTTCTTCAGCCTTCTTCAGAGCAGTATATTAAAAGTATTCCAACAGGCTTTTTTTTTTTTTTTATTACATACAGTATTAAAGTCATTCTGCAGTTGGTGGGATACTGAACATAATAGTTTGATGATTTCTTGGCTCTCAGAAGTCTAAAAGCCACATGCCAACCCACTTTGCCTTGCATGCTCAGTAGGAGAAGACTGCTTTGGTGCATGGCTACCTACAGCACACGATGCCAGGGAAAGGTATTTTAAAAGGGAGAGGAAAGAAAGAATCATTTTACCATGTCGTCCAAGAACCTCTGCAAAGCAATTGGCCTGGATTGAGTTTCTCTCCCTGCTGTCCTGTTACTGCTGCTTTACTTCTTAACTATTGGAGCATGCAACTCCTCCAAGAAAACTCGCTCAAATTCAGTCGGAAAAAGTGTATTACCCCGGTAACAAGTGTAAATCTCTGCACACACCTTGTCTGTGATTGGTTACGAGGATTCTAGATGATGTCTGTATCAAGAAACACGTGCATTTATTACCAATATATTGACCTGAACTACTTGACCTCATGAAGGAGGTGCAGCGATCCAAGTCATTTTAAATGGTACAATGGAAAAGTCAGCATTATCCCAGTTTACCAGGTGCCCCAAAGCTCCACTGAAACCTTATATATACATAAAGCAGACTCTATTGGCCTGTGTTGTTTCTCCAGCCGGCTGTTTTAAATGTTCTGTGAGGATATTTGAAAACCTCTAATAATGTGCTCATTAAAAGACAGACTGTGTTGCACACTATTCTCAACCTTTACAGAGTCATAAGGGACATTCACTGCAACAAACTACAAGAAGGCTTTTTCATTCCAGGTTTAATTACATTTTTAATTCATAAGATACTTAGCTTTGGTATGCAAATTGTTACCACCATTATACTTTTAATATCATTTATCTTAAAGGGGGCCCTTTGTGTTTTTGGGGGTCGGCTCTCTGCCTGTCTAAATGAATGTTTTCGTGCTGTCTTGGATGTTCCATTGTATGGCACTAAACGTTTCTATATGGCATATTTGAGCATGAAAGTAACTTTTTTTACTTCACCTTGTGCTCAGAATGCACGTGAAGTAAATGCAGAGAAAGCTTAACAGTATAAAAGTTGCTTAATAGGAGCATCGCTGCAGCACATTTCGACCTGCAACAGGTGGCCCAACCTCCTTGTTTTCAGAGTTGAATACATTTATGCAATATTGTGGAACATTTCAGACAAAGTAAATGCAACATTGTGAAAACTAGCAAGCAGGCAAGCAAATTGGTTTGTCATTGTCTTTATTGGAAATTGTTTTGAATAACCTCTATTTCCTGTGTTTCTTTCTCAGATGGTGTCTGGTGCACAGGAGCGCTGCTGATGGGGTCTGCTCTCTTGAACAGGTAAGAATGAAACGTTAATGCTACAAATCTAAACGTACTGTATGATGTAGCACAGTTTTACATGACATTCCTGCTTGTATGTCTCAGAGAAACATTCTTATCAGATGCAGCGTGATTTAGATCACACATGTTTTACCCTTGATTACCAAATGAGGCTGGCCATCACTCAAAAATGCTTTTAGTGTGTTTTATTGGGATGAAATGAGTGTTATAATTGTAGAAGAGCACTTAATATTAACAGCAGTTAACAGCATAATTGAATGGACGCACCTACTTATAAACCTTAAACATGCACCTTAAAGAATGCACCAAACCATTCACAAAACATGTGCGGCACATCGTCAGTACGGCACACGTAAAGTCAGGATAAAGTGATTAGGCTGCAGCTAACTAGTAATAGTTGGTAAAGCTTTGTGAGACATGATCGGGCGGCGGCACTGGTCCTTTGCCCGTCTTCTTGCGATCTTTTCCAATAGTGAAACCCAAGTCATGACAGCTTGGTAAAGAATGCAGTGGCACGGAGATATGACTTCAAACAGATCCTTTGAGTGGAACTGAATGAAGATCTGCTTTGATGACCCACCACAGAGAGGGCCCTTCAAAGAGGCTGTTGATGGCACTGCACAGGGCGGCCAGAGCTCTCAATGAGGCCTACTGTATACTCGCTGCTCCTGGGCAGTCGTGGGTGTTCCAAATGGAGGTCAAACACGCTTGACCTTAACATGAGGATTTCTCTTCAGTAGAGGTTGAAGATTTTCCCTTACCTGCCTCTCTGAGTAAATAACTGTGTGTGGATGGCGTGGTGCCAGCAGACAGGTAGATGTGCTGATGATGGCAGCGATAGAGGCCCGGGGCGCGCACAAGCCTCAACCTGAATGTGTGTACTCAAGCTGCTGACTGGCCTGCCTCCAGCACAGACCTCAGCCAGGAATCATGGGAAATCACTGTCAGAAAAAGACCTTTATAGCTAAGACTAAGTAATCCAAGTGAAAGAAATGTCGATTTTAGATGCGGTAATGAAACAAGAGGGATTAGGCAAAGAATAACTATCTCTGAAGAACTTCCTGTCGCCTGAAGGACGGTGACTCAGCTCAGGTGAAACAGACGTGCGGAGAGCAGATGAGAAACACTGATGGATCACTGTCCTGTAGTGTATGGTACACCCCTCCTCGCCGCCATGGCGACGCACACTGGGAACCTGCATTAGCTCTGCAGATATGTCCGGGATCAGACCCTGCTCAGACTGGGCCTTCTTTAAAGCCTGAAGCCTGTGTCGCATCCCATGGTCTAAAGACCGCAGCATCATTGGCAATGTCAACTTTATTTAATACACACTTGAAGAACAACTACATGTATGTGCAAACAAAGTGCTACATTAAAGCAATGTTTAAATAAGACCATTTAAAACATGATAGAAATCGATAGAACTAATTCATGGGCATTACTCTTGTCTTAAATGTGTCCACACTGTGAATAGCGATTGATCATTGCTCAACATTTTTTATTTTGCATAATAAATGTATTTTGAATAACCATAGTTTGAACTATTTTTAGCCTACATATACTTAAACACTTATCTTAAGTTACTCCATAGTTCTTTGTTTTTTTTCCAAAAAACTGGCTAGGACTCATTTAGTAATGTTTGCACTTGTTTCTTTGCAAAGAAACTTGCAGTAGTTGTTGTAAAGGTGTGTGGGCTCCTGCTTTCTGTTGCCAGTGAAAGACCCACACAAGAAAAATATAGAAAAGGCACGAGTTCTTTTGTTACTATTTGGGATTTACTTTACTTTGTGTTTTGTTTCAGGAGCAGAGGATCCAGATGTAGTGCTCTGCAGACTCACTGGGACCTCACAGCAGTTTGTTTATTGAACATATTTTGGACTAAATTGTAACATACTTTTATGCTCAATGCAAGATACTTTTTATGAGCCCCACATATTCTATTTACTGTACATGGAATATTACACTGAATGCTCAGATGTGAATCCTGTTTTTCCATCCATTTGTTTGTATATTTTGCTTATTTTATTTTTGTCAACTTTGAATGTTCAAACAAACAGTATGAAACAATCATCTGTATGTGTGTAAGATATAAGGAGCACTTTGAGACTTGGACCTGGCAGATATTAGTATAACATCATTTTTGCATTAAACATGTTGCACAAGTTTATAGTCAGATCAGTGGAAAACATTTATTTATTATCGCAATTATTTTCATCTTAACAATAGAAATAGCCAACATTAACAGCAGATAGATGCTTTCGTTTTCTCACATTTCCATGACAACAGGCATGTGCCGGACCCTCAACCGGAATAGTTATGCAATGCTCATTAAAGACTGTTTAAACTCCTGAAATGCACAATTTGGACTTCTTACATAGCATAGTTTCTGTTTTGTTTTATGCATGGTTTGACAAATGTGATGTTAGAGTAAAAAGGTGTTTTATAAATACTTTGAATACTTTTGGAATGTAGTTGCTGTCATCATCAAAGGGATCATTGTCACCAAGTTCTAATAAATCCAAATTAGGAAACGGTAAATACATTTTGTCATGATAATTTAGTATTGCATCATGCAACTGTTGAACTGTCTGTCAGTGGTGTGATTAATGACTGAATGATTTCTGTTGTCTGTGAAACCACATTATCATAAATAAAGAGTGTGTCCAATTCTGTGCTTATTTGTTATAGCTTCAACTTGAGATCTGATAATGACCTGTGACAAAGTCTGTGTCAATCAATCTACACCAAAGTATATTCCAGTCTGCATATATTACTAAACCGCAGTGGGTCACAATACAATGCATTAGCTGTACTGTTCTTCAAGAGGTTTTTTTTTTTTTTCATAAATAATACAGTTTGTCTGTCCCAACAGTGTCGAATAAAAATTGTATTTTGTGAACAAACAGGCCTGCCAGCTTTATTTTATTTGAAAACATGTAGTGTTCTCAGACACAACTGTTTTGAGAGATAAGAACTCTTGAGATTGATTTTATTACATAGTTCAAATGTTGGTCCTATGAAAGTTAGGAACCCCAGCTTTAAATCCAAGTGTTCCTAACTGTGTAATCGCACTGCTTCTATGCTGTTACAGTCTCATGAGAAATTTGGAGCCTCTTGAACACTTATTAATTATTTTTCTTCAAATCATTTTGTGTGGGAATCGAACCATAGAGGAAGCATAACGACGTCATGGAAATAGCACCTGCTCCTTGTAATTTCTGCACATATTTCAGCGTCAAAACGTTTTTGTTGTAATAAGAAAAAGTCCCTGCAGCCTCCGCCTCCGCAAACACATTCCAGCGTACACTACGAATGTATCTATTGTGCTCAATTAATCTGAATGAGTGTAGACTTGACTTCCCCATTCAGCCGTCGTTCACTGTCAATTTTAGTACATTTTGGCCCTTGGCAGCTCTGAGGGCCCTGGCGGGGGCTGGGAAGTGAATGCTGGTTTGGGGGGCATACGTACTGCAGTTGCTAAGGGGTAATTATTCTGCAAGTGCTGGCTTATTGTTGTCCGGTAAAACAAAAGGCAAACAGGGTGCGAGTCCTATGGCGATGCGTTTAGGCTATTTATTCAGCGTTTTGACAAGTTTTCAAAGTATCATAGGGCTCCGATTTGGAGGTCAGCGTGGTGTGAAAAGGGGGGGAGAGGAGTCTTAGTGCAAATGTTTTGGAAGTTTCATGACATCTTTATGGGAGTGCTTACGGTCAACAGCATTAGCATGTCCACAATGCACTTCCCTGCTTGTTGCCTCCCCTCCGACTCTCCTCCCGCTTTTCTCTCACACATACACACACACTGGAGTTTGCAACGGGGGGAATGACCTCTCGGCAGCGCTCAATTCACTGCACTTCTATAGACCTGAAAGGACCGGGCGCAACAAAAGGTGACATAATTTTCTCAGGGTTTGATTGGGCCCCCTCCGCGCTGCAGGATGACATCATCGGCCTTGCTCCGGACCCCACGATCATTGCAGGCTCTAGTGCACAAACCTGGCCCCCTCTTTCCTGTTCTGGGATGCAAGGTTGCTAAGACGACCAAACTTAAGCCGAAAAGGGAAGGACTTGGCAGGATTTAGGCCTGGCTGTCTGAAATGAGTGGTATTTGCTGTAAACACATGTTGGGAAGTGTCATAGTGTGTTCTTTTTATTGTCATGATTAGAATTGTATATTTGTATCTTATAGCAGCATAATTGAATAGCATCCTCAGCCAATCGCAACAGCTATGGACCTTGGGCGAGGTTCACTAGCAATAATTGCAGGGGTCCCTTGAATAAAGTGGGTATTTTCCATTTTACCAGAAACTTCATAAAGAATAAAAGGCAAAGTTGTTATGAATGGACTGACATGTTCACTGATCTCCAGAACATACAAAAACTAATGAGGTGTTCTTCATTCATCGCATTCATTCATTACAAATTCTCCCACACAATGTGCGCCAATGGAACCGGAGCCACATTTTTAAAAACCACTTTGCATAATAACTTTGCATCGAGGACCTTATATACTTTTATTACTCAGAATCACACAAGTACAAATGGACATTTCCCATCGGAACAGTTTTTAATGAGGATGATTTGAAATGGGGCTGACACAAAGCCATGAGCCAAACCCCAGTGGTTTCACAAACTTCTGCAGTATGGACGCCCATACACTCATTCCAGGCCATTATTTCTAATTGGACGACAAAAAAAAAAAAATGCTTCAACCAGGTACAACTGTAGTTTTAGAGAGACTGCAATGATATATAACTGTCAGTATTGTTTTATATATTTCCATGTTATACCAAAACATTTCAAATCGTCAAATGCAATTTTGTTTAGTTTTGGGGAAATGAATTGTCATACAGGTTTAAAAAGTACTTAGGTAATGTCAGCTTTGAGAAGAATATTGACCACCAAATAAATTGGATTTCTAATCAACTTTTAAATGTGCTTTAGGGACTGAATACAAATGAAGCTCTTCACGAAAGTTCACTGTGGTAGACCCGGCCACTGCTGCCAGATCTACAAGCCTGCTCATCCTCTACTCATTACACCAGCAAAACGCCCACATCTAGTCCACCAATAACCACCAGGACAGCAAGTTAAAAGCCGGAGACGCCCACTTCCCAGCCTTCTGAAGTTTGCAAACTTCTGAAGCCTGCAAGGTGCATGTCGCTAACGCACCCGTTCGCAAATACATGCGTTGTTCTGGAGGGGTCGCTTCTGCTCACGTGTTGCTCGTGCGCGTGGCCCTGCTGTCCTCAGTCTGGCTGCTTGTGGTCTGCTCCTCCTCCGCGTCCCTGCACCTGCTGTGGTTCGCATATCCCCACTGCTCTCCTCCTCTGCGGGCTCTTCTGCGGGCTGCTCCGCGGGGCCCCTCCGCGGTTCTGTGCTGCTCGTTCCTCGTGGTCTGCTGCCGCGCGCAGACGGTCTGGCGGTGCCGTGCGTGTCCCTGCCTCCGATTGGCGGTGCCGCGTTGTCCCGTTGCTTTCCCAAGTCTCCTGGCATGTGAGTACAGTGAGTCTAGGCTGCAGGCGGCTGGTTTTTGCCCTACGCACTTGACTGCAGGCGTCAGTTTTCGCCCCGTGCTTGGTCTGCAGGCTCCGTTTTACACGTGTTTGAGCTAACTGAGGGACAATGCATATTAAATGGCATCAATCTCCAATGTCTGAGGGATATAAGAGGAGCAATGTGCATTAATTCAGATTCATGTTCTGCCACTTGCAGTAAAACCACGTTGGAAAAAATGTGCAAAGACTAACCCATCGTGCTCCAGACTGTACACACAGAGCTCTTGCCACGGCGCCATCTGTACAGCATTAATCTCATTACTCGCAAGTCACTATTGTTAAATGAATGTATTTAAATTCGTCTATCTGCAGGAGGAAGGAGGGGCCATGCATTTAAATAGCTAGGTCACTAGTATTAAATTGGGTAACTAAACTGCAGTTGTTGCATTTCGAAAGTGCAGCAGAAAGAAAAGGGGCCCAATGTGAATCTGCAATGGGTTTGAAGTGGAGTTGGAGCTATGAACGCATGGAAAAGTGATGGTTCATGCGTATCTGCCATAACCAAAGCAGCAAGATGGCTCCAGGGGACATCTGTTTTTCGCATGGGAATGTTTCGGATTCGGGTTGATTTATTTCCTCAGGCTCTTAAACAACCGTGGGCATGGTTCTCTGACCGCTGCTGCTGTGGTCCCTGCTGCCGTGGTCCCTGCTGCCGTTCCTACTGATGCCTGATCCCGCTGATGCCTGTTCCCGCTGCTGCCTGTTCCTGCTGCCGCTCCTGCTGCTGCCTGTCCCAGCTGCCTGCTCCTGCTGCTCCTACTACTACATGTGCCGCTGCTGCTGTTCCTGCCGCTGCCGCTCCGCAGGCTCCCAGGCTGCACCTGTCTCTACGGCTCGGCTCTTTCAGACACGTACGTAACCTGGCTCACGGAGACAAGCGGCGCACGCTGGCGTGACACGTCTGTTGTTCGTATGAATCGCATTGTGGTGCTACTGCTCCTGCTAATGCTGCTTCTGCTGCTACTGCTGCCGCTACTGCTGCTATTGCTGCCGCTGCTGCTTCATACTGCTACTGCTGCCGTGCTGCTGCTGCTTCTTCTACTTTGACACCTCTCTTCACTTCGCATCCTTCTACTGAAACACTAAACAGCTACAACAACATTCTACTGCGTGGCTTTGATACGGGATTATTGCTGTTATTATCTACAGATGCTGCAGCTGCTGCTACCCACTCTCTCAGAAGCTTATCCTGCTTCTAATGGACGCAGCCCGGCTGAGCATGCCGCGCTGCGCTGGACTCGCACCTATGCTCCCAGGGTCGCTTCGGCGGTCATGCTTCATCTCTCTACTTAATCTTTCTGATTCTATCAGATGCAGCTGGCCGAGTTGCTGCGCTGAGCCGTCAATCGGACTCCTAATCAAACGCATCCATACCTGTATTCTTCACTCTTCTGATCGCAGGCTCCCCATCATGCTGCCCATCCTGCAGCGGCACTGAACTCCGGCTCATCTTCCAAGTACATGTCTGCCCTCCTCGCAGCATCTTCCTGCTCGCCTTCTATGGCTTCTCTGCATAAGCGTTTCACTACTGCGCACTCAATCTTCATGCGGTCCGAGACACGGTTTTCCCGACCATCCTACTATCCTGATTATCTACTCTCCAACCCAAGATTCTAAGCGTAAGGGCGCCTGCAAACATCAATGGCCCTCTCCGACATGTCTCTGCCCCTACAGGTCTGCGCTTCTTCACGGACGCTGCCCCTTCCGTGGGTTTTGGGGGATTCTTCCAGGACCATTGGTTTGCCGAGCGTGGCTGCTACTTTCCACCGGAGCATCTCCTCTGCCTACACAAGACATTCCCAGTGGTTGTGGCCTGCGCGCTGTGGAATCACATGTGGCAGAGAAAGAGGATCTCTGTCATGTGTGATAATCTCGACGTAGTGGAAGCATTAAACAAAGGTCGCTCTTTTTCACCCAACATAATGTCCCCTGACCATTTCAACCTCCGTCTCGAACATTCAAAAATCAAAGGAGCCTGCAATATAGTAATAGCTCGCTCGGACACATCTCTCTGCCCTTACAAATCCTTGATGTGTTACACTCGCCTCCGCTGCAGAAAAGGAGATCTTAACGGACCTCTCTTTCTCACTCCAGACATTCTTCCCATGACAGCAACCTGGTTCAGAGTTCAACTAAGATCCCTACTGCTCCTCTGTAAATTGTCTCCCCAGCTCTACACAGCCCACTCCTTCAGGAGTGGGCCACGCGCGCGGCCTCGCTGGGGCTCCCCCACACCTCTCTGCAACAGCTGGGGCAGCTGTTCCTCTTCGGCCTTCTCCGCCTACATCAGGCCAGACGCGTCCGCCATCCTGGCTGCACAACGGCTACTGGCTTCTTCGTAAGCTACCAGCAAAGCAATACAAAGCAAAGTAAGTGAACCTATATATTCTGGTGGCGGCACGCACTTTAAAGAAACTCTGCTGCAGCGTCTGGTATCGATCGTGATGCGAGCGCTCACGTCCCAGTCAGCGTCCGGTTGATCGTGATGCGAGCGCTCACGTCCCAGGCAGCGTCCGGTTGATCGTGATGCGAGCTCACGTCCCGGCGCTTAAAGGCAACTCTGCTTCAACGTCTGGTATCGATCGTGATGCAAGCGCTCACGTCCCAGTCAGCGTCCGGTTAAATCGTGATGCGAGCGCTCACGTCCCAGCGCTCAAAGACAACTCTGCTACAGCGTCTGGTATCGATCGTGATGCGAGCGCTCACGTCCCAGGCAGTTCCGGTTGATCGTGAAGCGAGCGCTCACGCCCCGGCGCTCAAAGACAACTCTGCTACAGCGTCTGGTATCGATCGTGATGCAAGCGCTCACGTCCCAGGCAGCGTCCGGTTAAATCGTGATGCGAGCGCTCACGTCCCGGCGCTCAAAGACAACTCTGCTACAGCGTCTGGTATCAATCGTGATGCGAGCGCTCACGTCCCAGGCAGTTCCGGTTGATCGTGAAGCGAGCGCTCACGTCCCGGCGCGCAAAGATAACTCTGCCCGTTTTTGGGGATTATGCGCGCGAGCAAGCGCCGCACTCAACAGCATCTCTCCCGGGCCTAGGGCGCCAAACATACTCAATCAACAAATTTCTAACTGCATTTTCCCTCTTGGGTCTCTCCAAAGTGAACTGCAATAAATAGTTCCTCATAATGCCATATGGGCGGACGCAGACAAACCCATGGGCTTCTTGAAACCAGGGAATACACACTCTGCAAATATTCACTTATTACATACTTAGTCTGGTGTTAGTGCTATTGTTGTGTAGTAAATAAAGTCTTTAGTTTAGTTTATTGTTTATAGAACAGGAACAATGTTCAAAACCATTAGTCTTCACAACAGAAGAGGTGATTTGCACCAGATTTATCTGCAGCTACTTTCCATCTGTAGTCCCTGGGCAGGTGAACACACATAGACATACACATACACAAATATAAAAACAAACTTATCTCACAAAAAATTGCAATACAATACAACGATAAATACTGTAGCTATAATAAACAAATACAATTTCAAACGCTATATGTTCATTGATGCTCTAAAATGTGCTGTTTCAAATTTACAGTAAAATGTTTCAGATCTACAGACCGTTTCAGACTGTCTGGAAGCTGGTTCAATTGTTTAAAGTTGAAGTACCTAACTTTGAAACCAACAAATCCATGTAACAAGTTAATAGCTCTGAATACCGTCTGGATCTATGAGTTTTTACGTCAATGTATTTTTGGCCTCTGTCACATCTTTAGATAAGCTTTTTCAGTAAAATAAAGACATTACCAGTTCTCTCTCAGTCAGATAAACGCAGCATGTTGTGGTCTGCTGTGGCCAAGACTTTTTCTGTTGGGACAAACAACTTGAATCATATGAAGCAACAAAAATGTAGGTTCTCCAGCTTTAAACACGCAGTATTGTCTGGTTTCACATTAGGACAGATTTGAATCCCTCCGTCACCTCTGCTCAGCTGTTTCACCATGTCACGCTGAGTTTCCTCCCTCCCTCTCCAGCTAATCCAGCAGAGGAGGGGTGTCCCAGGAAGCCAGCCCAGGACGAGGACAGGCGGAGGGGTGGGTGGCAGAGGAGCAGGCCAAAGGCTCCCCTCATGTTCATGGGAATGTGCAGATCTATTCAGCAGTAATTATCAGCATCAATGCAAAGAGGCAGTGACAGGACGCGGGGCGGGGGCCAGGGTGAGTCTGGGATGGGCACCGGCCGAGATACAAACCACCAGGATGAGGTAGTGTTTTGGGGTTGCTTGGAGCTAACATGAGCTGATCCCAGGACTTTGTAGAGTGTCGGGTTTCTGCTGCCTGACGAAATGATCACTAAAAAGAAATGTGTGGAGGTGTGTTGGTTACGAAAAAATAATTAGTACAATGTGTTGTTGAAGAACTTAGACAGATTGCATTCAGTTTTAAGCCTCATGTATTAAACAGGGTATGAGAATGGAAACAAATCGGGTCAAAGATAATTTTCCTTTTAATTTTACTGAAACCTTATGTCTTCTCCTTCATCTTACCTAAAAACAAATACTTTTTTTTCCCCCTTTATTGAGCTACTGCCACTAGCACAATACGAAACAATCTATCTCACATCTTATTGGATCCCTAATGTCTATGTTCATATAATACGTTTTGCATTTACGTTTTGTGTTTTGTGAGGACAAAGGGTTAACGAGCTGGATTTTGATGTACACAAAAAGCAAATGCGTGTTTAACCATTCCGTATTTACATATTATCAAGATTCTACTGGCCATGTTTCCTGATTATTTGGAATCTTTTCTCAAGATTAGGGTTAGGATTAACCATATTACCATGAATTAAACTGTAATGACAGATGTGTCCTATTTTCATCTTATTTAGACAGACATACCTAATTTCTATTGTCAAATGATTAACTGGCATGTAAACAGAAAATTACAACGCTACTACTTTCCCTGATCTCTCCCACCTTTGCATTTGATGAGAATACTGCGTAAAAGCAAGTAATCAGATTCAGATTCATTAATTTGCCATTTGCAGTAAAACCACATTGGAATGCATTTTTAAAAGTTCCCAGTGTGCACAAGACAAGTACATACAACATTAAAAGTACAGAAATAAAACAGATAAAAGTAATGTCATGCTTTGCCCATTTATCAGACCTGCTGTTTTAAGTATATATATTGTTTTTTGTGCATGTAAACACACACCAATCTAATTATTGAGTATAAATGAAGGCGCAGTGAAATAAAGACTGATGGTTTTTTCTATTTGGTAGCAGTGTGTGTGTCATGAATCAGCCGTGGATAGTTCCCGGTGCGCTGTGCCAGGCTGTCTCTCCCTCTCATAGATCACACTGACAGAGGGTTCACTCCTGAGCGCAGAATGTCGGTGCAGTGACCACCTCAAAGACTTGGGTGAGTCTGGATTTGGTGAGAACGTCACTGCACTGCGCACCGCACCACAACTGAACGAAGGCCGATGCTACATCCAGCCAAATCTGTCCGAAGAGGGAAATTATGACAAATTATTATTATTTTTTAGTTTCACCAATTTGTACATTTTATTCCAGTTGTGGTGAGTACATACAGTGTATAGGTTTTCCCTGAAGGAAAAAGTAACCCATCTGTGACAAAAATATTTTATTTGTGTATTACAGCAATAACTTTTTTTTTTTAAATATATTACGGCTCCCTAAATGTAGATAATGTGTATTGAAATATGCATCAACTGTAAACCAAAAAATAATGAATCATCATTATGCGAGCAACTTTACTCGCATCTGTATTTACCAAAAGAAATTCCGACCATTTTAACTTTATCCGCACCTAGATTGCTTCAACTTGTGAATGAATAAATCAGTCAGCAGGAGCTAAAACAACAAGGCCTCATTTTCAAATAGAATTTATTTTCCAAATTTGAAGTATTTCCATTTGGAAATGATTTTGGGCTGATGATAGAACCTTGAGGAACACCATTACCAATTATGGCTGTGGGGGGCTTGTGTATTTAAAATCATCTTCCTAAATGTCATTATCAATGGTAATATTCTCTTTGGTTTACTAACGACAAAACTTGCATCACAATGTGCACATCACTCAGACATTACAAAACGTTCTTGTTTTCTTTTTTGAGTGTGAGAAGCGGCCAAGGGAAACGGCTGACCCTGTGACCCGCACTCACAGAGTTCCTTTTTACACACTGCGATTGAATTTGGTTTTGTGATGTGCAGAAGTGACACCGACGTGAGGAACAACACAGACCTGGTACATCTATCTATCACAAGGAGGGAAGGCGTAAACAACATGGCCGACAGACGAATCTGCGGCTCAAAGTCAATGCAAAGACTAACGATACAATACCAGTTATTTTTTAATCAATGTAGATGACAAAGCAATGATCTAGAGTGCTCATTTGCAGTAGCGCTAGAACACAGGTGCTCGTCTGTATTGTGGACAAAAATGTGGGATTTGACATTTGTGAAGTAATGAAGCAAAGGAAGGCGACTGAAGAACTTTACGTTTTTAGAGTTTCAAGAGTTAGGCAAGTTTATTTGTATAGCACACTTCATACAGGAGGCAACTCAAAGTGCAAAACAACATACAGACACACATACTGTAACAAGACAAAAAACATTATAATCACAGGCAATACAATCATAAATATATATTTGTAGTACTTTAAAAGAGTGAATACACAATCCTTCAGTTTCATGCACAGCTGAACAGAACTATTTTATTCTGGATTTGAACATTGTAGCAGATTATAGAAGCCTGTCTCATATTTTCAGGAAGACTGTTCCAGATTCTAGCTGCATAAATCCCCATATTTAGCCGCATTAGTTTGCAACAAAATGCTTGTTTCAACCCAAAACAATCAGGAACAAATATGGTGGATAGCTTCAATGATTAACGCTGGAAGAATGTAAGTAATAGACAATAATTTGAGTGGAATTAGAGGTAAAATACTGCATTTGACCACGTTTAATTATCATGACACTCATTCTATTCATGAGTTTTGGATAGTAGGCTGGTTTTCCCATCAACACCAATACCTACTATGCTACTGCAGGCCTAAAACAGCAAAACAAAATGTATACTTGGAAAACAGTGGTGTAGTTTGAAAAAAAAGTGGAATAGGAATCTGAGTCATCTGGGACAAAGTTGGAGCAGCTTTTATCCTGAAATAGAGCAAGATCAAAATACTGCAGACTCAGGATTGTTCCTCCATCTTTGCATCTGTCTTTGAAAAGCAGCTTTGTCCCAGGCATCACTCCTCTTGAAATTCATCCCAGAAAGTTGACGTTGTGAGATCTTTATCAACAAGTCCCAAAATGTCTGTGGACAGAGCTGTAACTTTAAACGCCTCCTTTATAGGTCTTCAGCAATTATTGTTAGTTTATCGTTTTGAGTTTCATGTCTTGTCTAAAGCGTGATCAGGAAGTGATTGTATCTGGTCTAAAGATAATTTAATGGTTCTAACCCAGGATTTTCATAGTCTAAACATCATCACATAATGCTGGTGAAAGATTTGGGTACTCTCTACAGTCACAATAAAATCTATTAGAACAAGTTGCTTCTGTCTTTTATCGACTTCAGGCATTCTAGTCTGGTTTCTCACAAAAACATGATATCCTTTTGAAGGCTCTAAACTTCAGTCCCTAAAGGGCTCTCAATTGGTGTGTAAAATATAAGTAGGAAAAGAAACATCAAACTGAACAATACATAATGACACATGTAACTTCATATCCACAGTGTGAAAAAGTGTGTGGCTCGGTCGTGGATGTCATATTTTCCAACGGCGGTCGATGTGCTTGCATGTTTGTGTATGTTAAAGAGGGTCATGTTGAGAGAACGCAGCACCAGGTCTAGTAGCTGTTTATATTGTTTCCAGTGTGAAAAGATGCAGGGCACTTTGAAGAGGGCGTATGCTTCTCAAACACATGACCAGGGAGGGTTTCAATGGTCAAGAATTGTCCCCGTGTGAAAAGTACTGGACATGCTCTCTCATACGCGGGCTGCAGGTGCGATAGGCCAGGTGCTGTTCTCAGGGTATAGAATAATAAGTGAATGAGTGGTTGTACTGCTTCTCAGAGTGGCTTAGTGGATAGCAGCACGGTGGCTTGGTGGATACTCTCACTTCTCAGTAAGAAGGTCCTGGGTTTGAATACCAGTTGGAACAGGGCCTTTCTGAGAGGAGTTTGCATGTTCTCCCTGTGTCTGTGTAGGTTTCTTCCAGGTGCTCTGGTTCCCCTTAAAACTAAAAACATGCACAATAGGTAAAATCAGGTAATTCTGACCAGGCCGGCCATCAACATCTGGAGGTGGGTTCTACGGCGACCACTGCTCCTGACCAAGGCCCTAGTGGCATTGCAGGATGCATCAAATGCAGAGGATGAATTTCCCTACGGGGATAAATAAAGTGCACATTTCCTATTTCCTAGCAATGGTATTACCTCATATATTATCATGTCACTAATCACTGCTGAAACATTGAAGAAAATGTAATAGTATTGAATAAGCTGTTTTTTAAATGTTGTTTTGGACTGTAATCTTATCTGAATGTGTCATGTGACAATTTTGCGTCAAGCTGACATTCCAAATGTTCTCACCATGTTCCAAAGAAATGAAAAAGAAAGTCCAAAGTTACAAATGAAGAAGTATCATGCGTTATTGTTGATTTGTGTAACTGGTATAACGTGTCCCTCCACATGTACGGGCCTTGGGTAATCCCCTGACAGTGGGTCAGAAGACTATTTCTAATTAATCCAAAGAGGGAAGTGCTTGTGACTGTGGTGTAGACTGAGGAAGCTGCAGAAATACAAGCTGAGAGTTTATGAGTGTAATTTTCTTGTAAAATTCATTGTCCTATGTACATATTTCATTTTAGGTACAACGTGATTTCTAAAAGTCTAAGCTACTGGAATCAAAAATTGCATACATTGAAATAAAAAGTCAATATAACATGTTATAATGTATTTCATAAAATCATGTGTTTTCTCATGCCTTACACATTCATAAAGCTGACATATGTGCGTAACTTAATGGCTAAATATTGTGGTTATGAGGAATGCAGGGTTACACAACGGTTAAGACCAAACTATTTCACACTAAGATTCTCTAATTAAGACCATTTAAATATTTAAAGAGTTGCTTT